CGGAAGATGTAGGTACTCCGTGTGTTTCTCCGGAACCCCATGGCCAAACACGAAAACGCCACCGCGGAAAAATAGAGCGCATTCAAACTGGTTTGGGCAGGTCCGTTGTAGTCCCTCTCATTAGCTCAGTGCTGTCGTCCACAGGGGGGAGTTCAGGAAGAGGTCAGGTCAAACCCTGACTTGATACCATGCGGCAAGACGTGGGAGTAGCGCTTAGATCTTCTGTATTCGGACTCCGTCGCTGGAACAGAGAATAGGTCAAGCCCTCCGAATCCGCTATAGCGAACCTCCATGCACGCATAGGTACGATTCGAAGCCGACCAGAGTTGCACTATAACTCCTGCGCGACCTGTGCCTTTATCACCCTTATCTGCGATTGTCTGTGATGGTGGGTTCGCAAGAATCCGAAGCGTCGCGCCAGTAAACTTATTTTCCCAGCGATTACCTCTTCTCCTTCAGGCCTGTTCGGGCGTCAACGCGTTTGCACGCGGTCCTAGTAGAGACAGGCACTGTCAGAGCCCTGGTGAATACCCAGGCTACCAGCAGATCTTATTTACACCCTTGCATCCACAATTTCCGCCCTTCACGCTCACACTAAGACTCCGCTCTGACAGTCACGCGCATGACCTCCATATCCCAGCATGAAGCACGTGACCACTTTGATGCTTAGAGCACGAATCATAGTAATAAGGTATCCTTATTTACTATGCACTTTCAGCACCAAATCCCTATCGAATAACGCCTTGTCACTTTAATAAATACCATTGAAAAAATGTACTCTTCGATTCAGTCGTGAGCTTTTAAAGTCCGCGCAGTGGGGGTGGCGTGGTCAACCAGTATTTAGACCGCATGAAAGATGAGCAGGAACAGAATCACGTTAGCCGAGTGCCGGACGTGGGGTAAGGCTCGGAATGAAGGTCACCTGGACGTCACACGCGTTTTGCTCTTCTGTGTTCAGACTAATACAGAAGTTCTTATCTAACTGCTGAGCATACGCTTTAAGTTATCTCGCTTGTAAGGATAATTCAGCCTTTGATTTTCACAAGCGATCAGCGCTGATCCCGTAAGAGGCGCCCAATCCCATTATGTTTCTAATCGCCTGCTGAATACCCTTGAAGCAAAGTAA